TTTTTTTTTTTTCAAATCAGAACCTCTCGGTTCCGGCTCCTGCCATTCTGGGGAGCGACAGTCCGGTTCCTATTCCCCCGCCCATACCTTGTCCGGATCTTTCCCCTTCTTCCTGTACCGGATAGCAGTTGAATAGGGCAGGGTAATGGTCCTAGGGTTTGATGGGCAGTCAATCCCGTCGCTCGAAGGCAATCAATGCTGCGCATTTATAAATTATAACTGTTCAAACAATTGATACAAATGTTATGGGATGGACCCGCTTTCCAGCAGGTGTTGCTCCCCACCAATAGAGATGGAGCCCTCCTGAGACTGCTAGTGGTGTCTTTCGGTGGTCGTCGGTCTTTACCACCCCTCACTGGCAGTGACTGCTGTTCAATATATTCAATACAATAGTCACACACACACACGCTCCTTCGCATTCCGGTTGAGAGGTCCAAGTCGACGGCATTGATTACTTCCATTGGGAAGGATATACCACCCCTCACCCCTGCCTAAGTGAGCCTGGTTGACTTAGGTTCTGACTGGCAGTGACTGCTGTAGGGAGGCTGACCTGTATGTACCCTGAATGGGGTGCTCGACTTGTATACGATGGCTTGGCCAGCTTGCTCCTCTCGGCTACTCTGCTGTCTGATCCGGACGTAAATGCTGGAGATCCTTGCCTGCTTCGTATACTGAATGATCTGGCTGCTGAAGGTGGTTTCCACTGTCTATTGACTCTATTCCTTAAACCTTAAACCCTACTCTCTTGTATTTCTCTCACCTTCAGTCTATAGCCCTGCCAGCATTGATTAGGGATTGACTGCACAGGGTTAGTATTAGATTTGTTGGGATGGAGTACGGTTTTGGCGTCTTCTGTGTGCTCCGTCCTTGATCCTCAATCTGCTCCATACCATTGCATATCTACCAATGCCAACTGGTGGGGAGGGAAGGGATCGGGAAATTCTGTCACTTTCTGTGGATGGTCGGTCGCAGTGGGATCCCCTGGCCCTCCAATGTGACGCTGGACCCGGTTTCCAGCAGGCGATGCGCCCCACCAATAGATGGAGCGGCCCGTCGACAAAGCCTCAATCCCAGTGGTTCTCTTACCACCACTGGGATAGAGGCCTTGAAAAAAAAAAAAAAAACAAATGCTGCTGCATCCTCCTCCCTCTGTCCGCCGTAAAGAGCGGCATTATCCCTTTTCTACTTCTCATTTGTTTCTCCTTTTTCTTTTTTTCGTTTGGATCATTTCTCGATTTGTGTGTGTCATCCCTGTGTGGAGGGGCCAAGCTAATGCTAATCTTCTCTGTATCGTTCCATTTTTTATTGTTCTTCCCCCCCCCCCCCCACCCCATTCTAATGTTGATGGATATCCCGATGGACAAAGAGCAGCATAAAAAAAAAAAAAAAAAAGAAGAAGAAGAAGAAGAAGAGCAGCATGCTCCTGTTTGTGCCGAACTTGCTAACAAGACTGGATCTGACTACGCCCTTGGAATCATACTACACCTTTCACAAACGTGGTGCTACGGCCATAGTAGTGCGATCGTGTGTCTGCTGTGCGACAACCATACCACCTCCACCCGTATGGTTGCTTGGTGGACTCGTACCCAAGGCGCAGGATGGAAACCAGAAAGCAGAAAGTGGAGGCGAACGGCTTCGATAATTGATATATAGAAATCCATACGCTGTTGCAGGGCGAAAACGGGCCCAGCCCCAGCCCCAAACGACAGGAGCCAATGGCGAGGGAGCGGAATACATGCCCCGCCACCTATTCCTGGCTCAAACTTGAGCAAATTGAGACCCACACACGTCCCAGATCCCCCCATGCGTGGCCGAACACCCCTTTAAGGGCCTCTTATTAAACCACCATTACACCCAGACCTTTCGAGGCGCTTCAGTGCACGCCAAGCTTCATCGAACTGCACGCGGCGCACACATCTTTTGGCCGGCGCAGCCAGCTAATGCGGTCCTGTAACCCTGAGGCCTGAAAAGTACGGAGTGCGGGGAGAAGGCAACTAACAAAATAATTTCCACACGACTGGGGCATGTACTGGCCGTTTAAAATTTTAAAAATGCATGCCTCTCGGAGCCCTTTGAGTCGGATCTCCCTGGCGAGAGCGAAGCATGCTAAGTTCTTTAATTCCTTTAATTTCATCATGCCATCGCACCATCGCGTATAACCTTTGAAATTCATAGTGCCCAAAAATTGACCAATTGACGAGTCTGATGGTGGCATTTGTTCAGCGAAATGTTTGAAAATCTCTTTTTTATTTTTTTTTTATTTTTTTTTTAAACCGTGACTGAAAAAATAGAAAAGAAAAGAACGAAAAAGAAATAGGAAGAAGCTAAAAGAAGCTCGCTGTCGCCTGCCGCAGTTGGTACACGCATGAACTGTTGAAAATTGAAATACAGGGTCCGCGGTCGAGCAGTCTATTGTGACGACAGTGGACTGCAAGCCGCGGAGGGATAGTGGTTTGAATGAGGTTTTCTGGGATTGTTGCTTTGAATTCGGCGGAATTCTGGGATTGTTGGTTTGAATTCAGCGGAATCCTGTATTTGTCCTATTCTCGTCTCTACTTTGTCACTACGGTGACCTTGTGTGTGTCACACCTGCACTTGTGTATCTGCACCTGTGTGATTGGTGACATCTGCACCTATGTAGTACCTTCACAACTGTTGAAAATTGAAATACAGACCTGAGTTCGAATCCAGAGGGACTTTGATGAATGGAATGTAATAATTCTGCATTAACTGGCGCGGCTCAACTCCGTGATGAGATCTCTAGATTGCTGCCCTAAACATTAAAAAAAAAAATTGCCCTAAACATTATTAAAAAAAAAAAAAAGAATCTGAAAAAAAAAAAGGGAAGAACAAACTCGTTGTGATTGTTGTAGAGCTGCTTGACAAAGTTTACTTCTCATTTGTACCCTTTTCATTTGTACCCTTTTCAATTTGGCCTGTGTTGCGAATATGAAGGCAACCCTCTTGACTTTTACAGTGTCAACAACTTGACACCCCTAGCCTGGTTGTCTGACCACATGCATTGTGCACCCTCACTGTGGACGGTCGGTACAACTAACTACCGTCATCCACGGAACACAACGCACCCCAATCCGGAAGGTATAGCTGAACACGATGCACCCCAATTGCGAAGGTAGACACACTGTCTTTCCGATTTGGGTCGGTCATGATGGGGGTACGTTCTGTTCAGGGGAAGACTTGATGCACCCCTCCCACTCTGTGCCCTGATTACAAACTCCATTCACCAGACCACATATTTCCAAGTTAGCTCTCATGTTGCTTCTTCTGTTCACTCTCTCTCTCTCTCTCTCTCTCTCTCTCTCTCTCTCTCTCTCTCTCTCTCTCTCTCTCTCTCACACACACACACACACACACACACACA